ACCTAAGAGGACATCTTGAAATCCTCAAGTACACATGTCTAAACGACTTGATTGAAATTAAAACTGACCTTATACCAACAGTATATAATTTTGATTTGGCCAAAGGGTGATGCTTCAAATACAATTGGATCCGGAGTAGGTATGGGCATTAGTGGACCAAATAGCAGCATTAAATTACCCCCAGCTCTCTTCTGCACCGTTATGAACCTAGAAAAAGGACAGAAAGGTACATCCATAAACATTTTATATACATTTATTATTATTTTATAAACAGCAACCTCAGAGAACTCGATAGGGGCAATGATGTTACTCTATGGTGAGTTCCAGGTCACAGGGAGGCCTCAAAGGTAGCCTTACGCTGGAAAGAAACAAGACCATAGAGGTTTTATGCCTCAGCAAAGGGGATCTAAGGTTGCGCTCAGACTTCCTGAGCGGCCATGCGTCCTTAAAATGCCATCTTTCCCACATTGGACAAGCTAAGGATCAAACTTGTCGACTTTGTAACGACGAGTCAGAGACTGCTGAAAATATACTGTGTGAATGCGTCATCAGAGGCCGCCTAAAACCCAAAATTTTCGGTAAAGTATGCCTGACACCTACCGACATAAAGAAACACTGAAGTCGATTCGTTTAAGGTTGGCGGCACCTCGTTTTGTGACCTTGATTTAAAATCCGCCATCTTATCACGAGTTACTAAAAGCACAGAATCAAGCTTCGTTGAGTAAATATACTGTAAAAGTAAAATTTTTAGAAACGTGCGATTCTAGTTCTAGGTATAGTGTTATTTTTAGTGATAGTACTAGTGTAAAACTAGAACTAACACTATACTTAGAACTAGAATCATTCGGGTTTAGCCGTCTTTAGAGACGTGTGGCTAAACTCGAAACTTTCTAGTTCTAGGTCTAGTGTTAGTACTCTTTTTAATTGTTATGCAGTGCTAGACGTAGAACTAGAATCATTCGGGTTTAGCCGTCTTTAGAGACGTGTGGCTAAACCCAAATGATTCTAGTTTTAGATATAGTGTTACTTTTAGTGATAGTACTAGTGTAAAACTAGAACTAACACTATACTTAGAACTAGAATCATTCGGGTTTAGCCGTCTTTAGAGACGTGTGGCTAAACCCAAATGATTCTAGTTCTAGNAGGCACTTATTTATAGTGCGTGTCATCTGAGGTATGTATTGTAAAGATATAAACCTATTAACCTTATTAGAATGAGGATAAATCAATTTAATAATATTAGAGTGATGCACCTTATCGAAAACACTTTGCATATCCGAGATGTTGTATTTGTTATTTAGACCTATTTTTATTATTCTGTTGAGCTCCATGACGTAATCGTTATGGTTTAATGGGATTCTGTTAAGTCTAGTAAATTAAATCTTGTTAGTTAAATCTAGTGTTATGTCGGTAGCTAACAGGGGAGTTTTACCGAAGACGTTGTGCCTTAGACGGCCTCTGGCGACGCAATTGCACAGTATATGTTCAGCAGTTTCTGACTCGTCGTCGCATAGTCGACAAGTTTGATCCTCAGCTTGTCCAATGTGGAAGAGGTGGTATTTTAGGGGCACATGGCCGGTCAGGTAGCCTGAGAGCGTTCTTAGATCCGCTTTGCTGAGGCATAAAACCTCTTTGGTTTTGTTTTGCGACGGAGTTATCATACTCTTCACTTGTTCCAGCGTAAGGCTATCTTTGAAGCCTCCCAGTTGTTGATTGTTTGTTTTAGGTTGCTTTTTGAAAGTCCACATCCAGGTTGTGGTCCAATGAAGGGCGTGTTTGCTGCCTCTTTGCCCAGCTTGTCGGCCTTCTCATTGCCCTCAATGTTGCTGTGACCTGGAACCCACCATAGGGTAACATCATTGCCCCTAGCGAGTTCTCTCAGGTTGTTGGTACACTCTCTGATCAGTGCGGAGCCACACGTGTAGGCCTGAATTGCCTTTAAGGCGGCCCGACTGTCTGTGAAAATGTTTATGGATGCACCTTTTTGTCCCTTCTGTAGGTTCAAAGCGGTGCAGAAGTTTATAGCAAGAACTTCTGCTTGGAAAATTGTTAAGTCCGAGCTGAGGGGCAATTTGATGTGGCTATTTGGTCCACTGATGCCCATGCCTACTCCAGATCTTACTGTCTTTGAAGCATCGGTGTACCAGGCTAGGGCTCCTCTTTTTAGTTGAGGCCCTCCTTTCGCCCAATCATCCCTGCTACTAAATATGACCTTATACGGTTGGTTGAAATTGTATTCCGTCGGTATAAGGTCCGTTTTAATTTCAATCAGGTGATTTAGACATGGGTCTTTGAGGATCTCGAGGTGTCCTCTGAGATTACCCTGCATCAACTTGAGTGAAGAAACTGTTTTCAGTGATAAGGCACTTAAGGC